TGAACGAGGAAAGGTCGGCTATCCTTTCAACAAATGCGCCACTGTCTATAGACTATATTTTTATGCAATCACGGTACTGGTGTTATTTCCTGATAACCTTCTTGTGACAATTAGATTGCTAACCAGCGCTCTTAGCATTAACGGCTTTCTCAATGATTGCGCTGACATTGCGCATCCAGCTATTTAGCCATTTTGGACAGAAGACGAGTGTGTGGCGGATTCTAGAACGAGATCGATAAACGCGATATGATTTTGTTTGTTAACTGCTGTTTTTGGCCGTAGTTCGCCTTGCAAATGTTTCACAAGAATGCTGGGTTGTGAACAAAACTTTCGCCCCAGGCGGGACTAGAACCCGCACCTCTCGCTTTCCGGGCAAGTGCGCTACCAGATACGCTACCGGGGCACCATTTCATCCAACTGGGCGAAAGTTTTGTTCACAACCCAGCATTCTTGTGAAACATTCGCAAGGCGAACTGCGGCCAAAAACAGCAGTTAACAAACAAAATCATATCGCGTTTATCGATCTCGTTCTAGAATCCGCCACACACTCGTCTTCTGTCCAAAATGGCTAAATAGTTGGATGCGCAATGTCAGTGCAATCATTGAGAAAGCCGTTAATGCTAAAAGCGCTCGTTAGCAATCTAATTGTCACAAGAAGGTTATCAGGAAATAACACCAGTACCGTGATTGCATAAAAACATAGTCTATAGACAGTGGCGCATTTGTTGAAAGGATAGCCGACCTTTCCTCGTTGACTACTGTAAATGTCTGCCCAGTTTGAAGAAGAGATTTCTCTAAGTATTTCTGTAGAAATGTCACCCAATGAATAAGAAGGATCATTTATTACAACAATTAAACCATCATCCATTACATTTCCAAAAGTGCACACATTTCAAATGTTAACAAATGTTCGGAAATCGATTACAACTTTAGTCATATTAAATTTTTTCTTCAGGAACATGTGCAATATAGATAAGAGTATGCCCAGTGGGCGGCATACACGATGTGACTCAAAGGATACGACCACGTACACAGTGCAATATAAAAATACAACTGTCTATGTAAAAAAAATGAGGATCAACCCTTTTCTTTATCAGATTTCACCTCACGACAAGTCTGACTACTGCCTTCGCATACTTTCAATAGAAATCGATTTTTGAAACAATATACGCATGTATTCATTTGGAAACAGTTTTTTTGGAATATGAAATATAATAGCACTCTCAAAAACTGAAAAAATGGGATGCTATCACAAGCGTGTTCGCTCAAGCGTTATACTGAATAATTCCGTTTAGTAACCGGGGTTTTAGTGAGTAATACTACAGCATTGCATATTACAGTAACCAGTTGATAGCGCATCCGGATAGATTGTTTTTTTCACAGGGAACAAGATAATGTGTGGCAAAAAGGCGTACTTGAGGGTGGTAGAATTTGCCTACGGAACCGCACAACCTCATAAAAAGCAGTGAGATTAAGGATGACGATTTGTTTGCGTCTCAAAAGTGAGTGAGCGTGAAGCTTCCTTAAAAAAATAAACAGCGAATCAGTGGTCAAGAAAAGAGATCAACAACATAACGATCTTGGTGCTATTAAATAGTAACAACACAACCTTCGTAACAACAGGATCAGCTTCTATTATCAATCGTCACCTACGTAACATTTTGAAAATTTGATAGTTCCTCTGTAATGGGCCCTGTAAGGTTAATGCTCAGACTTTGCGAATCGAGCGATTCGCTAACGTCACGGTAGGCGTTGCGGCCAGCGAATCGCTCAATTGGCTGGTACCGCAACGCGACCGCGGACGCTAGCGAATCGAGTGAATCGATCGATTTGCAGAGTCTCACATCGGCCTAAGGCGTGACACATTGCTGACAATGACGACACTAGTTCAAACGATCGAATTCATGACGTTTGAAGGTCCTCATGCCCAACACGTAGTACATAATTTTGGTCACGTTCACAGAAAATATGGTGTTTCTTGTTTGACCGGTGAAATGGATCTTGTTGGCGTCGGAGTTGAAATTGACGAAGTGACAATCGAGTCCGGCGATTGACTCGAGATTTGACTTAGAACTAGGAGTGGATTTAGGCCCAGCGTTCGAGAGGAAAGACCTCCCTGGGCCAACTCCACTAACTGCTGCTGGAGTGAGCTTAGAAGACCTAAAATTATTACAATTGATTTATAACCAGGCAAAAAATAGCTGCCAAAAGACATTATTTGGGTACAGTTTGAAGAGTTTGCGAACGAATAAGAATAAATATAAATGTTGCGTGATAATTTAAAAACAAATGCAATGCCTAAAAGGGGACGTCCTGACATGAAAAACTTAAGGGCAGTGGTCACAACGGCTAGAGGGTGGTGCGGTTTTGATGACGTCATTCACACTGCGCGCCGGGGGTGTGGCTAAGACCGCCTTTTAGCCCCTTTTAAGCAATAACGTCGTCAGAAGCGCAACGCTCTCCAACTATCGTGGTCACTGCCTGTAAGGACGTTTTGTAGCAGTAAGTAGGGGCACGAAGCTTTAAGTTTTCTGGACGTTTCTGAGGGTACAAAAAGGCCCAATGACCAATTATAACGTGTCCGGGCACGGTTATCAAGCGAATTCGCTGAAAACTAGTTAATTTCAAGGCTTTAGCCCTGAATGAACTCATCATTCATTCTACAAGCAACACGTCCGGTCAGAGACTTTAAGGAATCACTGCGACTGCTACATGTAAATGTGCCTCAACTAAGGCTTGAGCGCACCGGGGCCAGTGAAAATGCGCTAAGCGGCAGGCGAGCCGATCAGCTGCCAATCCTTGCTCGGCAGGGCTAAGCTTAGCCCTTCAGACAATTCTATCAAACAAAAATTGATTGACTTATCGTAGGTAGCCTTAGATCCAAATAGCCTATGGGTAAGCTGCACAAAGCCCAATAAAGTACTGTATGACCTTATCTCGATATTTTCGTTCCTGTATGGATCCTCTCCCACATTTACCACTAGTTTTTTAGCGCAGTTAACTCCTGATATGCAGTTGGAAAAATACGTCAGCCTCGGACCATCCTCGGCTCCAGCTTTACGCCTTCAACAAGGGAAAAATCGTTCCCCATTGAATCAGAGAGAAAAAATTGCTATCTAGTGACAGTTGTTACACGCATGTGGTGGGATTTTCGAACGGGGGCTCACACGTTTCGTTGGTTTTTACCACAGCTGTTAGCCAAATGTTTGTAATAAATGGGGAACTATTCATAACCAATTCAAAACACAACTTTATGAATGACGGATTGGATAGATTTTTCAAAATGGCATATGTTCGTCACATTTCCATGTAACATACATGAACGTAAGAAAATGTGAATCCAATAAAGGGTAAAATCTGGAAGCAGCAGTACGATCACTTTTAACGGAGATCTTGGTACGACCCCCTCCCTGACCACGTTTTCCCTTTACTCGATGGCGTTGGTAGCGTCGTGGTTACAAATACGACATGACACACTTCCGACCCCGCCCCCAAATTTCTCCGAAACCCCTTCGACCTGGTGGGTGATTTATATGGCTAGTAAATAACAAGTTTTACTTTTTACGTATTATGCCGCTATTACCTTTTTCTCACTTATCTCCCTAACCTACATTTAGTTCCGATCTAGGTCCCACTCAAAACCCTAACAAGCTGAATAAAAACTGAGTAATTTGAAGGGCCTCAGGGAGATCCACTTCTGGCATTTCAAGAAGAGTACAGAGGAGAATACCCTCATTTTCATGTTTTACGCCTCTACCACATGTAAGCATTTTTGAGCGCTCCAAACTCCGAACCCTCCGCTTTCCCTTGGTCGCGTCGCGTGACACTCTAGTTTTGAACCGAATGTATCCCGTATCTTACGAGGAGATAACGACGACCACTTCATATAAAGCATTTGGCGTTGATCAATCCCTTTTGGGATGCGCCACGCACCCTACAACTGTTCAAATCGCAGTGACATTTCGAATGCGATTAGGTCTGTACAAAGACTTGCGGGATCCAGTTCTTGTAAAATCTAGTAGCACATATCCGACCACGGAGGTATGAATGACTTGGTTAGACCAGGATGGCATACTGTCCGGGATTCGATCCCCGCACCGTGCGCGTGGTATGAAGAGCAACTGTAAAGCCTAATTATATTTCATCGTCCGAGTTTTTAAGAAAAGCTACATATTAACTAGTATAAATAATATGTAAATGTATGTACATAATTTAATATGTACCGTGTTATAAAAGATAGAGCGCTGAGAAGTGATTGGCCGTATGCTCTTGTAGCGTCCGTAAGATATGCCTTCTATTCCGCCATAACTTGCGGTTGGTTTCGGTAGATCCAACGAAGGACTTATCGATGGTTGTAGTGGACTTGGTGATGTGTCCACCACTTCCTGAGGACGTGAGTTCTTCTCGCATTACAGTCGTATCTTGAAGCGATTCAGTCGTCTTCAACCGGTTTCCACCCCGGTTCGTGCTTCGATTACGTCGGCGCAATGTTTGTTTATCGCTGAGTTCTGGTACGACCGTCCAGAAATGTCCTACAAAATAAGAGAATTAGTCCAGAAACATTAAAAAAGTGAAAAATTGAAACAGTTATGCTTTCGGGTATCCTGCTGAAATACACCAACAGCCAGCGTATTCTGCGCTTATTTTAAGTGACAGTTGTGCATATTTTATCGCAAAAGCACATTCCACGAATAGCAAAATATGATAATTATGGGGTTTTATTATGAAATAAGTGCAATAGGCGTTAGGTGTAGCTGACTGCCAGCGAAAAAAAGGAAAAGGACCACAGAAAGGAGAAATAAATAGGGCTCCGATTTTGTGACGGCGGTAGGGTCTGAAGCAGATCAGCCTTCGGAAATTAAGCGCCAATGAAAAGAAGCGATAGACGGAGACCGAAGAGAGCACACGCGGGAGCGAGACTGTAGATGTCGCAAATAGGTGGCGCGTGCGTGGCCTGCTTGCAGGTGTGTGCATGGTGCAAATCTAAGCCCATTCGTCACCCACGGGCTTAGAGTCGTGAAATCTGGCCCTTCTCCACAGCTGTGAACTAGCGACCTTATTTACTTAGGGGATCAGGCCAGTGAATTAGTTTACGGAATGTGACCTTAGCTGCATTGTAAAGAAAGATCAAAAATAAAACCACCAGAATGTTTTGTATTCTCAGATAAACATAAATTTTAAATAACCGTTATGCTAAGCGTCGTCCCGTGAAAAACTTGACTGAATCCTTGATAAGAAGGCTATTGTCGTTACCTATTTCATACAAAAAAAGCTTCACAGGCTTGATTTGAGAGCTCCAGAACACTGAGCACTGGATGTCAAGTCAGTGCACGTGAGGCTATGAATCAATCTAGCACTAACGGGCTTGCTGCTTCGAACGATAGCTTTCCGCTTAGATTAGGGAGTTATGCAACATGTCTGGCTATGTGGCAACGGGATAGAGGACGCTGTGCACATTCTTTTTTTATCTTCAAAAAAGTATACTTCCAAAAATGCTGGGAAATGTTCGTGGGGAAGCTTACTACCGACGTGCACGCACGGTAATGCAAGTGCCTCACAGTGGAAACCCCTGTGCATACCCGGTGTTTCACGCAGAGGCGAATTAGTTTCAAAAGGTTTCATGCGACGAAGATGAACGTTTTTTGGAAATTGAACGGGAACAATACACAGGGTCAAATTTAGCGTAGAGCGACATTACCTATGACCCCCCCCCTTTCTACCTTCGACGAATTGATGGCGTCGGGGATCTGTTCAGCCTGACACACTTCTAACCCGTCCCCGTATTTCCTATGTGTGCCGAGCAGAGATGTTCTTTGTATAGCGCTAAAAGGCTAAGCGGGGCAAATTTAGCCATTGGCTTCAAGAATTCTGATTTTCTTAAAAAATTATGAACTTCCCAGGAATGTTTAGCTTTCCATACCATCCAGAAATACGACCCCATAATCCAAATTACCCTAGTACAACTCCTCGTGTGACAAATCGCCGACTCTGACAGTACAGTGACAGACCAGTTGACCGAGTTTTCCATGAAACTTGCATTTTGAATTATTAAGACTAGTTTCCAAATGAGATGCAGGACTACTTTCAAAAGATGGAAATTGCAAAAGATGCTGATTGAATAAAAAGAAGCAGTATGGCTTCCAGGTGTAAAGTGCGCAAGAGCGTTCCATCGGAAGGACAAAAACGTCCAACATATTTGCATATGGTGGAAATGAAGGTTGCGAAGAAAAATATAGCATCAGTGAGCGACTGGAATACAAAGGTTCGTGACTCTGTTTGGAAACCATTGATGAATTTTAAACCACCCCAGAAGTAATGAATATCTCAGAGGTTGCCGGGAACCAGGTCAGTTTGGAATAGTCGTCTCATGTTCACCACATCGTCTGGGAAGCAGGGTCAACCGTTCGGACGAATATCCCAAATACGACCCCCCCCCCACAGACACAGACAAAGTCCAACGAGGGGGTGGGGGGGTCGTATTTGGGGGTGGAAAAGAGGGGGGTCGTATTTCGCGAGGTAGCGTCAATGTTACAGTAAGGGAAGGGATGGTTTTTCATGGAACGGAGAGCGGATTAGGTTCGTTGGCTGGGTAGAAATACTATAGAATCGCCCCCATGATGGCGATGGCAGGCGAGGGTGGTGGAGGATGGTGGTAAAGGGTTAACCATTCGT